GTCTCTTGGATCAACGGGATTGGGTAACGGTTCTTAACAGTGGCGGCGTTTAAGGCACGGTAATCGACGCAGAAGCGTAGTCCGCCGCCGGGTTTCTTAACAAAGATAACAGGGGAGGCGACTGGGGAGGAGCTTGCGCGAATGAATCCCTTCGACAGGTGATCTTCGAGGTACTTGCGCAACACTTTGAGTTCGTTCTGAGACATGCCATACAGTGGGCCGAACCCGTGCTGTTTGCCGGGTATTAGTTTAATCTTGTGGTCGTAAGGCCGTCGTACAGGCAGCTTATCAGACTCTTCTCGTGAAAAGACGTCTATCAGGTCATGATACTCCTGAGGGACTTTCGTGAGTGGATCGGTGTGCTTCTTCTCAGTTAGTGCCTTGTCAATGTCGGCAATGCTAACAGCACAGATTTCATAGCCTCTTTTGCGTGCTAGGCTCATAAACGGAGCAGCACCTATACAGTAGATGTCGAGTTCTGGCTGCAACTTCGACGAGTCGTTCTGTTCGTCTGTTGGCTGGGCACTATCAGGGTCGGGTACAGGTTCGGGTACAAGTTCGTTCAACTGGCGCTTCATCTTAGGTAGCCAGTGGTCGTGCCGTTGTCGTGGCACATGCTTAAGTTTTGGGTTTTGAGGGTAGGCTTCATCATGCTTGTTGTTGCTCCACTGTACCTCAGGAGAGAGAACAGGAGTTCTAGTAGTTCTAAGACAACGTTCTTTACATCGTTGAGCGGTGAAGATTAGTCCTTCCTTGTCGTAGTCTAGGTTTACTCGGTGCTTGTTCATCCAGGGTTGGCCAAGTATTAAATTATGACGGCCGGTGTTCGTGACGTAGAGTCGTATAGATTCGTTGTGATTGTTGTGTTGTAGCTTCAGGGTGACAGTGTGAGACACTTCTCCACCGTCGAGTACAGTTCCAGTAAATCCAGTCGGGTAAATAACGTAGGGCAGCGGGTCTTGACGTAGTTTCAGGTTGCGCGCGAGGTCTCTGTGAATGTATCCAATACCAGTAGCTCCAGTGTCAACTAAGGCTTTAAGGTTACTCTTAACACCGCCTTGTTGAACCGTACAAGGTATTGTAATACAACGTTTCCAGGTATCAGTCTGAGGTTCAGACCAGAGTTCAGCAGAGATTCGGTGGGTGCGCAGTCCCGGGGAGCGACTTATCCTCGGGACGAGGCTTTTCCCTTCTGGGATCGGTTACGAGAACGTCGTCCTCGGGATCGCGAAGGTCGCGAGGATCCTGACGAGACAGAACTAGTAGACTGGGTACGGTCGTGGTCACGCGCGCTATAGGATCGGATATGCTGAGTAGGTAGGGGAGCGCTGCAATCCTTAGAGATGTGACCTTTCTGGTTGCACTTAAAGCAGCGGCCTTCCTTGATCCTCTTCTGTCGTTCGGAGGAACTAGCGGGGGCGTATGCTGACGCGTCTATCTCCATTGCGTCGGGGTGGGTTACAGGGTAGCGTCGTGGGCGGTCTGGTAGGAAACGGAGGTTATTATCGTACGTGGATATCAGGTTAGCGTAATCGTTAAGGTCGCTAGGCAAGGCTTCTCCAACCATTGCACGTTGAAGTTCGTGGGATAGAGAGTTCCGGAGGGACGCGATCAGGCCAATCTCATTTAATCCAGTGTCAGCAGCTAGTCGTCGGAATTCGGCGAAGTGGGAGGTGAAGCTGCGCTTTCCTTGACGGAGTCCGCTTAATCGACTAAGAGCTGTCAGCTCCTTGTTTGGGTCTCCGTAGGTAGCTTCAAGAAAGGTAACAAGCTGGTCTACATTATGGATATCCTTGTCCATAAGCGGGTCGATAAGAGCTACTGCGTCCTTCTCAAGTCTAGAGTGAGCGTATAGCAGGCGGAATCTTTCGTTCGGGTATCGGTCTGCGTTTCCCTCGAGCTTGTACCTAAGCTTGCGGACGAAGGCAGGGAGGTCCTTTCGTCGGCCATTGAACAGAGGCGGGTCAGGCAGACGGTCGGTTCGGGGAAGGTCCTTCAGGTTCGCGTTGGGCGGCGTCGCAGGATTCGAGCCAATTCCAGATAGCTCTTCTAGACGAACTTGATCTCCCTCAGCGCTGGTTCGAGTAATGGCTGGGGTAGCAGCAGGAGCAGACCTAGTCTTAATAGACTCAAGCTCTTGGCGAAGCTCTAGAATCTGTTGAGAGTGTCGGTTTTCTTGTTCAGCTAGATTGGCAAGTAGTGCTTCGTTGCTAGCTTTTAATGCAGCGGAATCAGCTTGGATAGCATTTAGCTGATTCAGGATCAATTGCAACGCGTCAGGTTGCCCTTGAGTAGTCATAGTGGTGTGACGCAACGTAATGTCACAAGACGCTACGAGCACGTGTTTAAGAGCTTACAAGAAGCGTTAATTGTAGCTACGTACGATATCTGGTGTAATACAAGACGTTGCGTAAGGAACAGAGCAGAATGAGAAGCGGTGAAAGATATAGCTAGGGCCGTGCGCGGCGCTCAGGCCTTAGCTGGCCAATTAACAGATTTCGGGTGGACTGGCGAGCCACCCGAAATCTGTGCGTTCAGGTGTTAAGGGAACCACGGTGGTTACCGTAACATACTGCTTAAACAAGAGGTGCGCTAAGAAGGAACAAAATATTAACTCGAAGAGACCTATTAACTTTTGAATAACATGTACTACCTTCTATTTCTTACTTTAAACCTTACTATAAAACCTAAGGTTAAACACTTGCTAAAGCTCTACGGTAAGTTAGCACTTCTGTTACTATTTTAATACCTACATCTGCACTAGATATAGGTTCTATAACTACCTATATATCTGTGTTAATACTAGCACCTACTTCTCTACCTTCTTCTACTTTTCTTTAGTTATCTCTGCCTGTGGCTATTGCTGTGTTAGTGACTGCGGCTTAACAACCTGCCTAGTAACCTCTAATGTTAGAGGAATTCTTAGCTGATATTATAGGCTGATAGTCTTAACCTATTCTAGATTAGTACAACGACATAATGTTAGCTACTAACTTTCTAGCACAGACAGGGCAGCAAGATAATCCTACAGAGCTAGTAGAAGCGCGGAATATAGCTTTAGCTATAGAAGGACTTTTTACTTTCTGTACACTAACTATAGCTTAGAACTATTATTTTAGAGACATGAATGCTTTCTACTCTAAGAGATTTGAGCAGGTTGATGCGCAGAATGCAATTGCTAAGCCTTAGCGTGAGCCTTAGTATGAGCCTCGACAGCGTTCTAAGCGTGCAGCAGCAGCGGCAGCCTTAGAGGCTTAGAAGGATCTTGGCCTGCGTAAGAGAACCTAATAACAATAGGAGCGAAGTAGGAATTACCTAAGGCTGTAACTAATTCTTGTAATAGCATATATATAGTTGTGCTTAATCTATTGCGGCGACGCGCTGTATCGCGACGATGTCGCGTTGATAAATCACGCGCTAAGCCATATTGAGGGGTTAATTTCCGCTAGCACTAGCGTTGGGGACAAATCTCATCTTGGGGACAAATCTCAAAAACTTGGGGACAAATCTCAGCAGCCTCCCTGCACTTTTCCCCGCAACCCGACAGACCAGTGGTACTAAAGTAACAGCACCCGTTCGAAAGGGATTGTTATTGTGAAGAGACAGGCCACTCTCTCTTCTGTTAAAGAAATCCTCCACATCCCCTTCTCGAAACCATTTTAAAAGCGCCTCATTATACCTTCTCACACCCTCGAACGCCTTGGGTCTATTGCACTCCGGAACCTTTGTTAGCGCATTGAAACCCCTCGCAATATTCTCATCAAAAGTATCAGCCACATACCTACACTCGCCTTCTCTGCCTTCGAAGCCCTGAAGGTCAACATAAGCAAGTATAGCATAGGCACTAGGGACACTATCTAAGTGCCTTGAAAACTCTATCCACGGCTCGCCTGGCCATCCAAAGTAGCCTGTTGCCCTGCAGAACGCGCCCAAATGATGACGCATGCTCATCCAGCTTTTTAAAGCGGTCTGTATACGTGCTGCGTTGTCGCCTAGCTGGGCTTGTAGGGCCTCTGTATCGCTGAGCTAGAACAGGTTGAGCAGGAAGTTTATCCGCTTTTTTGCATCGATGTCGTAGGAGTCGGAGCTGAACTGATTGTTTCTATTCAGGCAGGAGAGGAGGAGTTTGAAGAGTTCGCGGCGGTGCTTACGTTGTTGCCAGTTCGCGGGATCTGATGTGTGGGGTATAAGAGATTGCGTGATTGAGGGCATGACTTGTTGTTTTTCGACGTTAATTAGTGACATAGCTTTCGTTATTGTAACGGTGTGAGGAGGTGAGACGTACTGTGTTGAATTGGCTATCTGAGGTGGACTGAGCTACATATATAGATACCTGTACACGAACTATCCCAACTCGTACTGGAGTGGCTCCGGCCAAGGCCGTAGACTGTTACAATCATACGCAGAGATGTAGTAGCAAGGAAGATAGCCGAGTGCGTTAAATCTCTCAAGACTAACGGTAGTGAGCTCTAACCTCATGACGCCTAGTATCATGATATAGTGCATGGCGTCTGCAACTTCCGGGTGATACTGTTCTAGCTTTGCCGCGGCAGCCCCGCATGAGGCATCGTACGCAATGGCTGTGTCTCCACAGTTCTATGAAAGGGGCGTCACCGACTAGCGGCTGTGGCATCCTGCTAACCAAGACCTTGATGGTCGTTTGTCGACCCACACACTGCACACAGCCCCAGGTGCTCTATCCTTAACCTTTATAAACCCTCGTAGCCTGGAATAGATGGCCGTCCTCTTCCAGAACCATTTTGACCGCACATTAGGAGCACGATCATCTGAATTGCTCTTGTGTCTGACCTTGCCCTCACTCTTCCCTTCGCACCCCTTCTCCCAGCACTTCTCTAGCACTTCCCAACCGTTCAAAAGCAGACGGTTAGTATTACATCCCGCTTAATTGTCTACTAGCTAACAGAGTACAGCATCCTAGCAGAGTGTGTTTCTTGTTTTTTTGCTGGATGAGCGAAGTTCGAGCGAAGTCCGAAGCAATCATGAAAGACAGCCAAAACCCGATGAGCCTCGAGCGAATACTAGCTCCCGATACTTCCGATAATCTTGACACTTCTGAAACCCCAGCTGGTAAGCCGCACAAAGTAACGGCGCAACACTGCAGCGGTTTGCACGCCTTTGGCGCAACAACTAGCACCGCCTCCCGAGACAAGCGATACGACAACTCTGCGCAGACTGTCGATGCAGTGAAGTACGCCAACCCTGCTCAAACCTACAACGCGGCGAACTAATATGCTCCGCACGCCTACCCTTCGCAACCCCTCGATATACGTTGCAGCGTTGAGAAAGCTCCGCCCATCACCGCCGGCGTAAGCTCAGGTGCTTCAAACATCGGCCGAATCCCTTTCAAAAGAGACAAGAAATTTATCGTCGTCAACCCTGGAGACTGTTATACACCCAGCAACGAGTACAACCCAATTTGCGGGACGTGTGGCAGGGATGATCTCATTTTTGATGACTTGAACCGCCACCAGAAGTCACCCTACTGTGTGAACGAGCGAACCTTCAAACTAGCGTACGCTAAAGCTGTTTTAAACTACCGCTACGATCAGCTCCCAGCCGTTCTTAGTCGCTTTGATAAACAGCATGGTCAGACGACCAAATACTGCAAGTCTGACTTGGACAGAGTCCTTTCGCTGTTGTCAGGAGGTAGGGGTAGGGGTAGATCTTGGATAAGGTGGTTTAGTACCCTGCCAAAGTTAACGAAGCTGTGTCGCGATCTCGACAACTACTTTCACTGGTACCCTTACCCTCCGGCATACCTTATACCTTACTAAAAACCGAAGCCTCCGCCGCACCGCATCATACGCGAAAACCCGAACCCGACATACCCTTTGAATTACCCTTCAACGTACCCTCGTCCTTGCCTACCTTCAACAGCCCCGACTTATGCCCTCGAAATGACTGCCGCTGGGACATCATCAGCTCCCAACTGTTTCGAAGCCACCACGAGGACTGCAGCCGACACTGCTACGAAAGCCATGTTGTCGCAGGCCATGCGCTATCCGGAACATAAGCCTTATTACTAATAACGTCGTATGATGATCTACATATGAGCTGAGCTAGAATGCTACAATCAATACAACTTACACTCTCTTCTAATTATTCTGTCTACAATACCCGCACCCAACCGGGCGACACATATCTAATTTTAATATGTCTGCTTTGTCTACCATATATGATACAAGCTTTAACCAGCTACTACGCTATCTATGCTAGGCTAGAGTCTAGCCGTGGTAACGTTCCTTAGTAGGAGCTTTGGAGCTATAGCAGAACCTTAGAGAATACTTAAGAAGGTTCTTAGACTACTATCGCTAAACTTGTGAGAGGAAATACTAAGCGATATAGCTGAGCTAGCTACTAAAACGGAACGTTGTTCTCTAATAACGCCTAAAGAAAAGAGGTTAGAGAACAGCTTACACTAACAAGGTAAACTCGAGAGTAAGCCCGCCTTAGTAATTCTGCTACAGCTAACGCCCCCTACGTGTTTAGCACGAGCACGATGCTAAGTTAATTACTATTCTTTCGCAGAGGGCAGAGTAATTAAAGATAAAAATTAGGTCGTGTTTAATATAGTACCGCGTGTATTTTTACGCATCCTGTTTTGAGAAAATGCTTAACCTGCCTTCGCTTTCCCCCGCACGCTTCAAACTCGACACAGTGTTACTAATAGAATTAGGACTAGCCTTAGACGTGGGGCTTAATATTGCAGAAATAGTTTGAACATAATGGCTACATTACCCTACAAGATTACAAAGTATTTCAAGGCCTACATAAGGTATAAAAGGGAAGTTAGGAAACATAATACAGCTTAGATTAAATAGCAATTAGCGCACAAACGTAAAGGTAAGGACAAGAAAGGGATGCGCGAATGTCTTTCGCAGCCAGATTCACCAGAAGAACCACTTCTAGATAATTACTAAACGAATAAAGGCGACGTTTGTCCTCTCTCTATAGTACGAAGTTATTAGCATACAGAGAGAGTAGCTTCAACAGTTTAGAATGTACCTTAATAGATGCTCTAGGTGCTAGCAGCAACTATATAAATGCCTAGGGAATACAGTTCTGTAAATCTCTTAAGCATGTCGTTGTAAGTACATCTTGTCTACTAGGGGCATCTTATAAAAATTACAACTAAGACTCTTTCTACTTTCTATGTGCTTTAAGTGCTTACGCCTAAGATACTTACTAAGATCGCCTAGAGTACTAAAGAGACGTATGCGTTATGCTAACAGCAATCTTTTGTTGCCTAGGCAAAGAAAACATATCTTTAGCCTCTTCTTCTTAAATACTAAGATCTTAGCTATTTCTAATACTTCTTTATTGTAGTCTAGCTAGCTCTTAATAGGTAGAGCGGCATTCCTGCTCCGCTCTTCTATTTAGATAGGGTTTATTCCCCTCTCTTTAATGCTATAGTACAGGGAAACTACATAAATAGCTCTATTACGCCTGTTTATCTTCTCTTCTATAGTAGTCCCTAGGTTTAATAGAACTAAGTTAGCTAGCTTCTCTTAAGCCGGGAGCATAATATTGTAAACAAGCTCTAGATTGTTCTTAGATTCTAAGCTAGTAAGCTACTACTTAACATTACGCACAGGCTGTTTAAACTTCTAGCGTTCTTTAATATCTTTAAGAAGAGCGTGCTGTTAACGCTACCTCTCTTAGTAGATCTTAGAGGTAAGCGCTTTATACTTAGGAAGTTTTGTTGCATTTAGAACTATACGTTTAAGTTACTCTTGTTAGTTAAGTAGAGAATAGATAGAAGAGTTATTATCTACAGATACAGACTATTCCTATGTAAGTTGTTATAGCTAGTAATAATTAATTAAATAGCTTATAGTATTGTTACAGGTAACACAAAGGATTCTCTCCTTAACATGGGGTGAAGGGGTTGAAGGCCAACCACGACCAAGTCAGAACGCAACGATGATCGCGGGGCTCGGGGTCACGTGATCAGGATTGGCATCCCGCCAAGACCAGGCCTCCGGGAGGCCAGTGGGGCTAGGGAAGCCACGGTCCTCCCAAACCTCCCTCTGGGATGGGAGGCCAGGGAGGACAGGACCTAAGGCAATGGGTATAAGAATGTGTTGGATTTCATTATTACACTCATTGTGGTCAACTCAAATAGTTCATCTCTTACACAGATTGTCAACTAGTTATTCTATCGTTTATAGAATTGGATTGTCTTTACCTGCAGTTATTCCACGATAACTCTTTTCCACAGAATCGCCAGACAAACCTCACGGACTACCGCTTTAGTCTACCTCGCCTTAGTACGGACCGAGCCTAGAGAAGTATAGCCTAACCCCGTGTAACAAGTATAAGCCGCCTGTATAAGAGCTACCTAAGTCTAGATGCCTTACATAACAGCCTACGTGTTAACTATAATACATTATAAAAGGTAATGCTTTAAGAATGTTAATATGCTAGCATAGCCTATTATTAGATTCTGTATAGCCTTACTAACGTTACCTATATACTACGTTAATTCTATATTCTAAATTATACGTCTTGTATAGAATAGATTAACTTACTATTCTTGTTAAACACCTTCTCTCTAGCATATCTAAGCAAATAGAGACAGGTAACTTAAGTAAACTCTATAATCTTACCTAAAGTCTAAATCTACAGTAGTAGAGTAGAGTAAGAAAGAGGCTTGTTAGAAGAAATACTCTAACTATATAGAGTTTGTACTACTTTCTAAAACATAGAAATATTATCTAATATCTAATTTAGGCGTAATAGCAGCTTGTTATAGCCTAGTAGAATTATTAGCCTACTTAGTTTCTCTAGAGAGGTTAGATTATAGGCTGCAAATATCTAATTGTAGAAAAGTAGACTAAGAAAGAAAATATACAAGCTAAAGAGAAGCGTCTAATCGTATATAACTTTAGAAAGAGAAAAAGTATTTCTTAGAGAAAAGTTAGCAGGCGTATAAGTTTTAGTATAGAATAATTACGCACAAGTCTTTAATACTAAGAAACTTCTTTATAAATTTAAAGGTAAACTCTAGTAATACTTAATAAGAGCTACTCTTAGAATCCTGTAGTAGCGTAACCTGTATATACTAGTAGCAGAGACTAAGAAGAGTCTAGAGTTAATTTACTATAAATCTACCTAGTTGTAGATAAAGCTAGGCTTGTATCTAATAGCGTTTATAGAGGTATCTCTTTTTAGTTATTACTAGGTTTGTTTATAGCACTCGCGCTAGATTCTTAATATATATACAGGTCTTATTCTAGCTAATTTTCTTTAGATTGTGTTTCTTTGCTAGCTTTCTTAGTACCTGTTAATTATATTAGATAGTTATACTCGTAATACTAAAGAAAAAGTCTAGCTGTATATACCTTGTGTATGCTCTAGTTTATTTTACTGTCTAGTCTTGCACTAGTTGCTCTTTTGTACACTAGGCGGAAAACCTTCTAATACGTACCTAAAGAACTAGCTAACTTAGTCTCTTAACGTTTTCTACCTTTCTTTCTCTTAGAGTAGATAAGTAGCTACTTAAAGAACGCGTATAGAGTAGTAATAGATACAGTCGCGTAATTACAATTTTAATCTTGCCTTAGGTACGTCTAGCATCTACACTAGAGTAAGTTTATACTTTCTAGCGTAAGCTCTAAAGAGAATAGAAGACGTACTTATTCTACTAATCTTCTATATAATTAAGTAAGTAAGTACTACTTTTCTTATAGTTCTCTTTTGTGTACTTTTATTTATTAAAATTCTCTAGTTGTTAAAGGTAGTACGTAGGTAGATAATTCTTATTAGGTAAAAGCTATGCCTTATTCTTATTACTCTTATTATTAATGTTAGCAAATTTGTTAACGTCTATCTAATTAGTGTCTAGCTCTATACTATTATATATATTAGATCTAGTGTAATCGCTGTTATAAAAGAAACTCTTAACTAGTAAATATTATTGCGTGTTGTGTAGTATTTGCAGAGACGTAGAAAAGGTAGAGTAAGTAGAGGTAGAGTATGTAACTAAAGCTGTGTATCTAAGGCAAGGCGTAAAGAGAGAATAGAATAATATAATAAGAATTAAAGTTTAAACAATAATGTAGACTGTAAAAGAGAAATAAGAAAAGAAGAATAAGGTCTCTATTAATATTACTCTAGACAGAAAGAAAGAAGCCTTTAATACTCTACTAGCAAGATAATCTTAGGTTAGGTTAGTATTTACTTGTAGTATTTAGAAGAGCGAGTTAAGTTGTAGGCGTGCCGTAGCATTTCTAATAGAAAACTAAATTAGCTCTTAGACTTATTTAACGCCTACGCTAGCTAAGGTAGAAAAGCTAGAGACGCTTCCGCTTAGACTACAGCCCGCACGATTAGAGAGGTTTTACGGCAAGTTAGCATCTAGAAACAGCGTTACAAACTACTAAAATTAGTAGCTAAATCGCTGTTAGATTATTTAATAAAGTAAGAGTAAGGTTCTTACTATATAGTCTAAAACTAATAAAAATCTAGTAACTAAACTACTACACTATATAATATAATCTCTACTTATAGAAGCTTAAAAGTAAGAGAGAAGTACTATTATAGTAACTACTATAGTTTCTCTAATACCTAAACGTATAGATTTTAGGTAGCTTACTATTCTACCTAAAATCTATTAATTAGCTAGCTAAGGCCTAAGCGCTACGTATAGCTCTAGCTATATCTTTTACTACTTTATATTTTGCTCTATTTTTTACGCAATATCTTATATTACACTAGATATTATATATAGCTATAATTAACGCTTCTTGTAAGCTCTTAAACACGTGCTTATAGCGTCTTATAATAGAAGGCTATATAGATTAAGTTTTAGTTAATTACTATATATAGTAGAGTAATTTATACTATCTCTATTAGAATAGGTACTTAATATAGAGTTAGTAGTATTCTTATATATATATTATTTATGTCTTCGCGTCTAAACACTATTTAGACTCTACTTATATTTTCTATACTAACCTCTAAGTCTAAGAGCCTTTTAGCTCGTCTAAGTACTAGTTTCACTACTACACTATTACTAGAAGTAACTATAACTATTATAACTACTACTAGAAAGTTATACTTACTATTATTAAAAGTTACTATAACTACTATATAAGTATATAGCTTAGATACTATACCTTTATAGTTTAGTATATTTAACTTTATATAAGACTCTAGTATTTAATCTAAGAATTATACTTCTTTTCTTTATTTCTTATAATATTATATTATTTTACTAAACGTGCTATTATACTTTTGTACTATTACATTAATCTACTAATTATGCTAGTATACTAACTCTGTTCTACCTTGCTTACTTGTTTCTAAGAACTAACATCTTAGGTTATCTTAGAATAACCTTTACATACACTTGCACACGTAACTAAGATATTATTAAGGAATAAGCTAACTAGGCTTTAGCCTATTACATTTGTACAGTCCTGCACTGTTGTATATAGTTGTAGTTTTAGTAAGGTCTTAGCAAAAGCCAGCTACTCGCTTGTCCCGGCTACTCGCTATGCACCTACGTTAGTTTTAGTAGGGTCTTAGCAAAAGCTAGCCACTTACTTGTCCTAGCTATTCGCTATGCACCTACGTTAATAGGGGTAGTTTTAGTAGGGTCTTAGCACAGGTAGACCGCGAAGCATGCTAGACCGCGAAGCATGCACCTACGTTAAGGTCGATTGCTGTAGTGCGATAAATGTCAGATTAAAGCGTAGTTTAACGCTAGACCCTTTTTATAAAATGTATATGCAGGGTCCCTTGAGAAAGCATAGCCGCCGCGACATTTCCCCATCTAGAGTTAGTCAGGGCCAGAGCCACATTGTCAAGCACGGCGAAGAGCTATAATGCGACGGCGACGTAGGGCTTTTGTTTGAACGTCGACTTGTGGAGTTGGTGGGAAGAAAGACAAGAGGCTGTATCGTTGAGGAAGGTGGGTCTGGAGCTGCAGCTCGGCGACATGTGCGTCATCGGGATTAAGTCGGCACCATCATCAAAGCTATCGCAATCATACCGTATGCTCAAGTACAATCTCAATGACCCCGAAACGAGACCAAGCCCAGTCTAAGTCAAAGCCACACTCTACTCTTTGAGTCGGCACCGTCGACATCTAAGGCCTTTTTTACCCCTCTCCGCCTTTCCCACCCACCCAAAGTCGGTCAGATGGACAACATCGTCACGTCTCGACATCCACATAGGGTTCTGCACCGATTCTCTATTCCGTATGTCAGACGGCTGCAAGCGACGATGATCGCACTATCTGCGGTGCTAATCTACGCGTGGCGCGACGCCGTCTGTAGACTGCGCCATGGCCGGACTTCGAGCTGACGCCACGATTTCAAACCATCCATGATACAGAAGAGCAATTAGATAGTGTCAGATAGCTTTAGACTAGGTTTTGCAGAAAGGAGAAGGATTTAGTTGATGCGCATAAGCCGGAGTCCGGGGGTGACATTGACTACAACGCCCTAACAACTAAGCGCTCCACTAGTCTTCGCGATAGAAGCTGAACAGTATTTGATTTCCCGCCAAGAAAGAGGCGTACCGCCACCTTCTGTCGCGTTCATCTGAGATTGGTCCACGCCATTCATGTCTATGCAGCTTTGTCTCAGACTGGTCCAGGCTTGTCAGACGTGGAAAGGTTCTGGCCACGAAAGCTTCTGAGTGTAAATAGTGGCGATGTCCTTGTCCACATTCAATGTGTCCATAGCCCGATTGAACTGCTTCAGTAGCCATTACCTGCGACAACAATCTTAAAACATGACATCTGTCGGAGGCGCGAATGTCACTGGTGCTTCGGCGCCAGATCCTGTCAAATTGTTGGTCATTGGTAAGCACCAACAATCTATCCTTGAAGCACATGTCAAATACACGGGATAAGGCGCGGCTAACAAACGCAGATGGTGGTGGGGTTCGAGGACTGTCAGCTCTCGTGATCCTTGAGCAACTCATGGACGCTTCCAACGAGTATCGAAGAGACCAAGGTCTTGAGGCTCTCGAGCCATGGCAAGCGTTTGACATGATTGGTGGTACTAGCACCGGCGGGTATGTGAAACCGAAAACTCGCAATGCCCTAGTTCCGTACCTTATTGCATCTGCGTTATAGACTCATTGCGGTCATGCTTGGTCGCCTTCGCCTATCTATCGAAGAATGCAAGAATGCATACACGAATCTAGCGCGGAACGCTTTCACGCCGAAGAATTGGGCCTCGTCAACCGCTGCGAAGGTCACATTGGGCCCCAAATTCAAGACGGCACCGCTGGAAGAAGCGATCAAATCACTCATTGGAGATAACGCAAATTCTGAGCTACTCAAAGAAAATGATCCAGTTTGTAAAGTGTGCGTCTCAGTTACTCGAGATAGTAGGCCGGAACTCACTGACTGTGCGTCCTAGTTTCGTCGTTGCACACAATCACAAGATTTCGGAGCCAGTTGTCTTGAGAAGCTATCGAAACAGACGGAAGCCAAAGGCCTCGTAAGTTATACGATCTGTTCGTATCCCGCACTTGTTGACCGGCTTCAAAGCTTTGAGGTGATGCGGATATGGGAGGCTTGCCGAGCGACGTCCGCTGCCTTGACATTCTTTGAACCAATTGTGGTAGGTGACCTGAAGTACTCCGATGGCGGCCTCCATTATAATAATCCGGTCGAGATCCTTCACGGCGAAGCCGGTGAGGTTTTCCCAGGCCGTGAGCAATTCATCGTCAGCCTTGGCACTGGTATTGGGACGCCCAAAGAATTTCACCCAACCCTTGCCAGCATTGCCCAGACGTTGGCAGATCTCAACACCCAGACTGAGAGGACTGCGGATAACTTCTATCGCCGTGAGGATAGCAAGGCTGCCAAGGCTGGCCGTTATTACCGCTTTAACGTTCCGGGTATGGGAGACATTGGACTTGAAGAGGCAGACGAGCTACTCAATATTCGTGTTCTGACCGAAAAGTATCTCGAAGCCTCTGAGTTGGGAGAGAAGGCAGATGCTTGTGCCAAGCAGATAGCAGCAGGTGCGTACCATGTCTCAGAGACTGTGCACTCACTGCCCCACTCACTCGATGGAGAGTACGAGCCCACTCAGCTTGGTTTCCGCGAGCGGTTGGACGCTTTGCGTGCTCCGACGTAGAGCTAGAACTTCTTGTATGCTACAAAGACCAAGCAATGTTGTCGAAGCACTTTTGGAAGTGTTTGGTGTTGCTGGAAGAGTCGCAGCTCTCTATCAATCCAGAGTTACAAGCTAATACATGTAATGAAGGCTGCTCTACAATCAGCGCGCCGACACGACTTCGTGAGCCGAACCTAAGCACACTCCTAAAGCAACGCTGATGACTTGACAAGAGTTAGATCGTGAGGATGTTTTGAACTGGTTGTCCGGGACAACCTTCGCGGCGGAACACCAGGGCTTTATGAATGAATGGGTTTCGGAAACAGGAAACTGGTTTCTTGAAATGCCAGAATTCCAAAAGTGGGCTCGTGGTGAGATTAAAACGTTTTGGTGCCGTGGCGGCCGTAAGTTCTCGACTATGATCCTTGTAGCCGCAGCTTGTAATACTGACGGTGTGGATCTCAGGAGGTGTAGGAAAGACGATACTGATGTATATGTGCTTCGACCCTTCTTCTACCAATGCTTACCCGAAGGCAGGTCTGTCGCCATCAGTTATCTCCAAAGAGAGATGCCGGAAAAATCAGCCATTATAAAGCTGTACCTGACGCATCGCGACCAAGAGCAACAAACATCGCAGTATCTTGTCCGCTCACTTCTGCGACAATTAGTCGAGAAAAGGACTGACTTGTCACCACAAATCGAGCATGCTTTTTTCCAACAACAAAGCACTGGAGATGAACACTTGAACCGAGACTGTGAGTCGCTACTTCTTGCGGAGTCTGCTCGGCTTCCTCGGATCCATATAATTGTCGATGGTCTAGACGAATCTAAGGGCCAAATTCGACTTGAGCTGTTCCAAGCCATCAACAAAGTGCTCCATTCGCATCCTAACGCCTGCCTCCTTGTGAGCTCACGAGAGCTCGACTCAGTGGGGAGGTACTTAGACTCGCCTGTTCATATGAATGTTAGCTCCCAGCCTCAAGATATTGGGAGATTAATCGATCAAAGCATCACAGAGCTCGATGGCCTTCGCAGGATAACCGATCGCTACAGCGGCTCAAGCATAATTACGTCTATCAAGGAAGTCCTCATCGGAAAGTCCAAGGGAATGTATGCATTTCCACATATAGCTCGTTTCGGAGCCGCTCATATATCGTGAAGGATAAAATTACTAATTTGGAGTTTTAGGATACTCATGGCAAGATTGCATCTTCAGCTCCTGAACAACTCGAAAACTCGCACTCGAAATGCGTTCGACAAATTGTTAGCAAATCTACCAAGCGTACTTGAGGAAATCTACGAACAAATGTGGTTTCAAATATCCTCGCAAGAAGAGGATGATTTTGAGTTGGCCAGATTGGTCTTGACCTGGATATCCTATGCTCGAGATCCACTCTCAGCCCGAGCTCTTCAGCATGCAATACTCGCCTCTGGGCCTGAACCTATCGAGACTATTGACGATGGAGATCTCATTGACCCTTCTGAGCTTATCGAAGGGTGTCTTGGGCTCATTATCTTACAACATGAGACGGGGGTCATCCGGTTTGCACACTACTCTGCGGAGGAATTCTTCCCTGTCTATCTTATCGACAAAGTGCAAACACCGCACCTTCAGCTTACAGCGGCTTGTATATTGTACCTTCAGATGTGCAAGCGTTGTGGTGTCTCTTGGGACGAGCAATCGGGCTCAGACGTGGATGCGGCAGACTCGACTTTTGCTCTCATACGATATGCCGCGACATCATGGGGACATCACGCCAAAAGCCATGAGGACATATGTCGCATACCATGTGCAACAGCGCTTGACCTTTTGTGCCAAGAAGAAGCAATCTCTTGGGTCATGAATCTCCTAATTGCCCGTTGGCCCAAAGTCCTCGCTGTGTTGACGGGGGCTGGTTTTGCCGGGCTCAAATGTCCGCAAACACTCACTCGGCTACACGCTGCAGCTTATTTCGGACTGAGATATACACTCGCCTACTTTTTAGACAAGGATATGGATCTTCTCAGTGTTCGCGACATTAACGGCTGGTCTGCTCTTCGATGGGCCGCATACGGGCGCGAATTGGATGTGGTCCAGGATCTTCTTAAGCACGGTGCCGAAGCAGACCCCGCAGACATGAGGGGCGACACAACCCTGGTATGGGCCCTTGGTCGAAGAAACACGATCAGAGTATTTGAGAATCAGGTGATCAGAAGAAGTCATTCTTATGCCGACCGTGTCCTAGTCGATCGAAGTGGGACTGATCCTAGTCCAGACCAAGAGAAGCCAACACAGACTAATACCACTATCGAGATAATACAGCTACTGGTTGATTCATCCACAAGCGTCAATGTTCGTGGTGAATCAGGGCGCACGGCGCTATCAAGAGCTGCAGAGAATCAGCAATTCGACATCGTTGCGATACTGCGTGCAAAGGGCGCTGATATCAATAGCGAGGACGATTCGGGAATGACGCCTCTTCTCTGGGCGCTGCAAGCACCTCGGTGGTTTCGGAAATACCTGAATCTACGAGTTTGTGAAGGGGCAGTCGTACATTTCGGGCACCATGTCACTCTGCTCAATGGAGCCAGCAGAACAGAACCTCCTGGTCTGCGACAGTCAAAGAATGTGCAGCAGGTAGCCGCTCTAGGGTTAGTAGGCGCCAAGATTGACGCCGTCGACTTCAGCGGCAGAACCGCACTATCGCTTGCAGCTGAGAGTGGACATGTTGACTTGGTTCGCCATCTTGTCACTCAGGGCGCGCAGATTGATCTCGTGGACACTCAGGGAGCGACACCACTCATACGTGCGTCCCTTCCATTTTCGGCTGGACAAATCGAGTGTCGAGATGTCACGGTAGGTAAATATGCAGTGGCCCACATTGGGGACTACATTATTGCTCAGGACTCACCAAGCGCTGGTCATAGTCCAACTGGCCTTGCGACTGGACGGTCTAACCACATACCTAGCGGCAATACTTCGAAGTCTCACCTCAACAACAGTTTTTCAGAAAATCGACAGGCTATTCTTGATATTCTGATGAGGGCGGGGGCAGCACCGTGGTCCAACCAAGTGTCTATCATCGACTCGATGGTGTCAGACACTTCATCAGATATTCCCGCATTAGTCGTTCATCATGGCAAGCATTACGCAAAGCAGATATTCTTGACGAATCTTGCAACCCTCGACCATTCAGTCTCGATCGTTAGTGACGTGTTGGCTGCACCAGATGGGTCGATGCCTTACGATTTTGGTCTTGAAAAAGGCGCTGGATGGCTAGCATCACAAATGTATCAAAGAAAAATTTGAGATTGTCGAATGAAGTTTTTAATGTTGCCCTAGAATTCCAGTGAGATCATAGGCTCAGTAAGTTTCGCAATCATACCGTATAATAAAGCACACTCTTAATGATCAGCCCGAACCGGACCATACCGCAGTGTGAGTCAAAGGCGCACTCTGTTTGTTCCGTTTCATGGCTAGAGTCCGATCTGACCACACTGCTACGGACAATCGCGTAGAAGACCAGGCTACCTGGTTCTGCTACAACACCTTCCTAGAGGAAGGTGGAGACGAGTGGGACGCAGTGTTGTAGGGATTAGCTGGATTGTTGCCTCAGATTGTTGCGCCGGCGATAGGGATGGAAACGAAGAAGCATAGGGTCTGTCAGATTTTTATAGTCGTATGTATCATGTTTACAAAGCTTTGCGGTTATACAGTTATGCAACGGTAAGTACCTAGGCTACGCCAAATGGAATGTACGCAAAAGCTGAGACATCTAGACCGACAAACCTTAATATTCTATAAACCTAAGCAACTATCGACGCTTGCGCTGCACAACGCAATCATGCAACACACAACTAGTCTACTAACGCCTAGGGTTATGAATTTTTGCTGCGTGATCCGCAAGATTGTAACGCATTCCTTTCGTCGTATCTGATGTACTCATTTATGTATGAAACTCGGAGAAAAATAGTGATGATTTCGAGCGCCACGTGACGCGACGCGACGCCGCCTACGGTCTACACTATTACCGGACTTCGAGCCGGCGCCATAATTTGGAATGGTGCCTCGCACACAAAAGCAACTAGTAGGGCTAACGCATGCGTCTCCTCCCCTCTAATAGCATGTAAGGCGCTAATGTTGTTATTCTATCTAGACGCCTTCTCCCTTCTTGTCCTTATACAATAGATTAGGCATATTAATTTCTACTTCTGCCTAAGCAAATGCTCTAAGCCGCGGGGGTATGATTACAGTATTGACAAATTAGCCTGTCTCGAATACTAATCGCGTAACTGATGGTTACACTGAACTCTACGTTCTGGGGCGGCTTATCTCAGCCGAGAAGAGACCTCCACCACTTCCTCTCCACCTCCCCTCCGCCTCCCTTACCCACCCAGGCTTATCTTAGCCGAGAACTAGGTTCGCCTACGAGAGCGGTGTTGGTCGCTAACAGGTAAGCGCAATAAATAGTGAAATCTAGTCTTGGCTTGTATTGCATCGCTGCAGTCTATGTAATAGGGCTTCGCTCAGAGAGCTACTGCACAGGTAACGTAGGTGATAAGCGAGTGGCCAGGACAAGTAGGTAGCTAGCTTTTGCTAAGACCCCACTAAAACCACAACTATATATAATAGTGCAGGACTATATAGAACTATAATTAGAAATTACAATAACGTAGATAATAAGCGAGTAGAACCTTTAAGCAAGTAGAACCTTTTTACTAAAACTTAACTAAAACTATAACTATATATAACTATATAGTACTATTTAGAATAGTAACTAATATTTATAGTAGACTAAATTAATTAGAAACTTCTACTATATCTTACTTATATATACGCAAGTTATATTCTATCTTACTACTATTAGGCTAACTACTATTAACTAATACAGGCTGCTTAAGATAGTAGAGTTATAGTATATTATCTAGTAAAGATAGATAAATTGTTGCTAACTTAGCTATAATTTCTAAGAGTTACTTATACTCGCACTAGCGCTAGTTACCTAATGTATTAGAACGTAGACTCTTAATATTATCTCTCTTCTTAGGCCTAATTCTCTAGAGTTAGACA